GAGGCTATAAAAGTTTTAAATATCTTAAATGGTATAACAAAAGTCTTCATTATTATTTTAAGAGGTCTTAAATTTGGAGAAAGAAAAACAGGAATTGGGATACGGCCGAATGTGATTGGTAAACTTCAAAAGGCTATGATTTAATTAAATGTTCAAACATTCTGCAGTTTCAGAGCAGTTCGCAATCAATGAATTATATGCATTTATGCCAAACAATTGCTTACTATTTACTGTTGAGAATTTATTGAAGTGTTTGCTTTATGCCGTTTATATTGTGTAATATGTTACAGATGGTTGTAAGATTGCATTTTTTATCGCCCTAATTTGAACTAGCAGCTGGAAGTAGTGAACCATTGACATTTCAAAATAAACGTCTCAGAGTATTTTGGCCTTGTTCATAATTAAAAGTCCTGCATTAAAGCATAACATCTTTTTTTTTTTTCCTTTTCTGATTACTACTGATTTTCAGGTTATATAATAAACTGTATGACATTTAAGTTAACGCAAATTCTTGAATATCTTAAATTAACACATTTAATATTTAGATACTATTTATTGCTTGTCATTAATATAATTTGTACGTATGGATATATTAGTGCATAAACCAGTTTAAATACACATGCATGTATTAAACAAAACATGTCTTGAGCATTTTAAACTTGCATTTTGCAATTGAATGCATACCTGATTAATGGATTAAAACACATATTTTGAGATTGTGAGACGTACGGTATTAATTTTGTTCATGCCGGTATTACATTTTGATTTTAAAAGCTCCCTAAAACCCTGATAATTGCATATGGTCATCTTGTCAGTTCATTTTGACCGTTTCCCCATCTCTTCACAGGACTTGCTGCACACTGTGTTCAGAAACGGGAAGATTGTAAAGACGTACACCTTCGATGAGGTCAGAGACAATGCCAAGCTGAAGGAGAGCGAATTGGAGGATCTGCTGCTCTGAGAGCGTCTCCCGTCAGCCCTCTCTCCACCCACACCCACCCGAGAGAACCTGCGTCCCGACAGACGTGAGGACACACAGTTACCCCACGTTCAGTGTACAAAGCTGTTCTATGTTTCTGTCTACTGACTCCGCTACGCTTCAGTGTCTCTGTCTAACGGCGGATGAGAGCAGTTATCATGCTATTTAAATCATTTAACTGTGTATTTGACCAAGTGTGCTATTGATCACACGTCTTTGCAGGAATGGAGACGTTTATGTGTGCGTATACCGCGAGAAGATTTTGCTTTGCTTGACTGTAGGACTGAAAGGTAATCGTTCCGTGTTTGTTGAATGTGAATGTTGCGTGTAGGGTTTATCACTTTAGCCAAGGATTGATCTATTCCTTTATGCAAAGGAGACGGCTGAACTAGAGGGATACTTTCATTCTCTTTCATTGGCCTTGTGTTTATTTGATGTCATTTCTGGCTTTATTTGAAAGATTAAACCTAAAAGAGCATGTTTAGGTCGCATTTCACCCTAAAATCAAGAGGAAAAAATAAGAAACTTCATTTTGCATAAAGAAATAAGCATTTTTGCTTTATTTCCATGACATTTAAGCATATTTTACCACCAATTCCCATTACCATATACTGTGTCCAGATTTTTTACCTTAAATTTTTACTGTAATTCTTAACATTTTCAATGGTGATTCTCAGTAATCGTTCTTTGAAAATATTAAATGTTGTTACTGTTATGCAGTATTTTTTAAAATTTCAATAAAAACATTTTTTATTTAAAATTAGCATAAATTAAAGGCTGTATACATGCTGTATAAATACTGTATATTTAAAAAGAAAAAAATATATATACAGTATATATATATATATATATATATATTTAAACACGCACACAGTATTTTTGAGTATTTCAGTACAAGGATTGTTTATATATATATATATATATATATATATTCTTTCTTTATGCAAAATATAATATCTTATTTCTTTCTTTTGATTTTTGGGGTGAAATATGATCTGGACTTGTTCTTGACAGGATTCATCCAAATATAATACACCCTTTCCTTTCTGCAGGGAACATTATCCTGATTTTGCCAACATGTTAAATGCTACATCAAGATATACAATGTAAACCTGAAATATTTAAGTCAACAAAAAAATGACTTTTTTTTTTTTTGATATTACTCACTGCGGCTCTTTATTTGAAAACACGTTTTATTATACAGCGGGAATCATTTTAGAAAAGCTTGGTTTTACTATTTTCTATACTCACTGTTTCAAACTACATTAAAATCATTATCATTATTTTTGATGACAGACGTAAATGCCACCAGAGTTGCCATAGTAAATATCCATAGTCAGAATAATGTGGCCAAACTGCCTCCTCTCTTGTATATATCGGCGTGTGTGTTTGTTTTGAGAGAGCTGGCTTCTTATTAGTGCAAACAGAGATCTGTTCTTATTTTTGTCTAATGCCCATTTTGTACCAACAGAAAATTCAGGCATCTGTTACGTTCTGTAGAAAGACTTATGTCTCTGGCACGTGTGTTGATATGCATATGTGTGTGTGGTGCGAGTGTGTATGTACATACTTGTTTGATTGACAATACTTGCTAATTATAATTTCATTGATGTCTTTATGTATATGTTGGGTCTCCCTTTTTATTTCAACTTCTTGGGATATTTTAAAACTAACATGACCGATGCCATTTTGACAGCATATTAAATCAACGACAACAGTCCATCCTTTTTGCTGAAATGTTATAATTATTATTATTTCTTTTCCTTTTTTATGGAATAGTTCCCTTTTATAGCTGCTGTAAGGACAGTAAACTGTTTCTCAGTGCACTAGCCTTCAATCTAGTATTGAAATCACTTCATTTTGATGACGAGTTTAGAACTGTGTTAAGGAAAAATTAGTGTGAACGTTTAAATAAAAAGCAATATCATACCCATTCGGGTTTGGGTTGTATATCTCTGGATGCAACACATGGTCATTTGATTAAAAAAATATATTTTACTGGTCTGTTTGGTAGCAGCCATTCATTGCACAATGTACATACAGTATACTTTGCTATTTTCAACAAGCGTTACGAACTGATAGATTTCATTCATTCATAATTTGTTTTCGTTGCGGTGTCTGCAGATACCCAGATTATACTTTTCTGCCCCAGAACAGTTAGCTAAAAGTTTTAAAAATGTTTTAAACAAAACACCAACATCCTTTTATTATTTACATGTAAATCTATAATATCAATTCTGAAAATATTTTTTAATAATTATTAAAGTATAATGAATACGAAATATATAATGACTGCAAATACATATAATAAATATAAGTGGTTAAAAATATTTATGCAGTACTTGTTTTGTCATGTAGTGTCCGATAGCAATACTAAAATCGCTCCACATTGTTTTCTAACTTTTGTGGTCATTATTTATATACACCACACACACACACACACAGTTAAAGGAACACTCCACTATTTTTGAAAATAGGCTAATTTTCCAACTCCCCTAGAGTTAAACAGTTGAGTTTTACCGTTTTCTAATCCATTCAGGCGATCTCCGGGTCTGGCAGTAGCACTTTTAGCTGTAGCTTAGCATAGATCATTGAATCTGTCTAGAGTACACGATGCAACTACAGAAGAGTCAAGTTTTAAATAGGAAAAATATAGAAACTCTTTTGTCATTTTTGAGCGAGATGCTAACGGTCTAATCAGATTCAATGATCTATGCTAAGCTACAGCTAAAAGTGCTACCGCCAGACCCGGAGATCGCCTGAATGGATTCGAAAACGGTGAAACTCAACGGTTTAACTCTAGGGGAGTTGGAAAATTAGCCTATTTTCAGAAATAGTGGAGTGTTCCTTTAAATGTGAAGAGAATACTTATTTTTAGACCACATATTTTGTCATGCAATATTTTGTAATACAACACTTTGTAATATAACTTTTGTTTGTACTAAAATGATTGAAAATGCTGCCTAAAATTGTATTTATATTAATTAATAAGAATATTGGTAACACTTTAGTGTCCAATTCTCACTATTAACTTGTTGGTTATTAGCATGAATATTACTGGGATATTAGCTGTTTATTATTACTCAAAAAGCACATATTAATGTCTTATTCTGCAAGACCTTATTCTAAATCCTTAATCCTATCCAATTATTAAACTTAACAACTACTTAACTAAGTATTAATAAGCAGTAATTAGGAATATTTTGAGGCAAAAGTCATAGTTAATAGTGAGAATTGGACCCTAATCTAAAGTGTGACCAGAATAATTTATGTAGTTGAAAGAATGAAAAGAACCATTTTATGTCTATCCTTGTATCATTAACTTGTCGAGGTTGATAAAGTAATTAGCAATAATAAGTAATTAAATACTTTTTGGAGAGAGTAATTTGTACAGTAATCTAATTACACGGTTGAAGATGTAATTAGTAACTAGTAATTAATTATTTATTTAGAGTAACTTACCCAAAACTGTATTTATATTTAAAATAATAATAATAATAAAAGAATACTTTTTTTTATTTTTAGATATTTCGCGATACTGAACTGAACTCGGAACTGTTGCTATAGCAACAACTTAGCCAACTTTTAGCACTTTGTTATATAACTTTTGTGGATAATGAAGTGATTGAAAATGCTGCTTGAAAGTGTATATACCCTTTAATAAAAAAAGAACACTTATATTTTTAGATACACATATATATATATATATATATATATATATATATATATATATATATATCGCATGCTCCAGCAGAACTGTTGTTAACGTAACTTCCTTTAACAGACATTACACATTTTGCAATAAAACGTTTGGCTACTGAAGTGTTTAAAAATGCTGCTTTACTGTGTATACGCTAAACTATGAAAAGAATACATATTTGTAGACCGCCATAATTCGAAAGTCATTCAAATGTCAAGTTTCATTTTCGGGTGAACTGTTCCTTTAAGAGACTTGCGTTTATAACGGAGCACAGGAATGTCGAGAATCCGTCTCTAGCGTCTCAGAATCACGACTGAAATATTGTTCGCTGGACTCCTGAATGCGCTTCTTAGAGAAGAGACTACCGAAAATATCGCCTCGTGATGAAATGTACTGGATACACGCGCCAGATGCATAGAAATCAAATCTATTGCGAAATATCCCGTATTGTCGGATAAAATCAAATCTACCGTGCAAAGCAGAAACTCCGTTTGCATCCTCATCTGGATTTACTCTGGTTTCCTCGCGAGGGAGGAGCAGCAGCATCTACCACAGAACCACGCCAGTGTCAAACTATTTATGAAAACTTGAGCCAGCGAGATTCAAGCCCCTTCTTTTTTTTCTTCCTGGAGGATATCTGGCTCGGTGGAGAGATGCAGACGGGATTTCGATTCAGTTTGACCCCCGTGAAAGAGCCTCTGGGTTTTGTGAAAGTCGTGGAGTGGGTAAGTAAGAAAATCCAAATCTGTTGAGAGCACGTTTTCAAGCTTTACTTCATAAGGAGGGCAAAGGCCTGGCTGAAAACGCATTTACAACATAGAAAGTATAGTTTAAAATCCATCTAGATTAAAAATATTTAGTCCCAACCACTAGTACTTGTAGGTTTAGTAGTTAATGCACAACACATAGTATCTTTACGGAGTAATACTTTTGTAGGTTGCATATTGATAATATATTTTTCAGCCATTTTTCTTTGAATTTATTTTCCTTTTTAACATTGTTTCATCATGTGTTCCTCGTGCATGCTAAGAAATGCTGAAATGTGTGTTCATTTTTCAATTCAGATTGTTATGCTGATAATAACATACAGTGTTGGGGAAAGTTACTTTTAAAAGTAATGCATTACAATATTGCGTTACTCCATTAAAAAGTAACTAATTAGGTTACTTTTTATGGAAAGTAATGCGTTCCGTTACGTTTGCGCTACTTTTTAAATCTGGACAGGGCTTGCTTGTTTGTTTTGAAAATAAACAAGTTCTATTTTTGGCAAATATAAAAACCTTTTCACACCAAAAGTGAAATGAATGCGCCTCAGGCTGAAGGGAAAGTAAATTTACGTCCGTACAGAAGAATGCAGAAGAAGACATTTCAACACACTTCAGCAATAAAAAAGACACAAATGTTTGTCTAGAGTAATTTTGGCTTATTAGTATGGTTGAACTGGATCATCGAAGCTCAGAAGCGAAGACATTGGTTAATAGAATGGGATTAAATACATAAAGGATATTTGTGATGTTTAACATTTAACTATTGCAGGTTTGCGTCATATTCTGAGTTGCATTATTTTTATTCATTTTGAGGTGAGTGAGATGAATTAATGCATACTCATATTTATTTTAGAACTACAGTAACATCTTCTGATTTCTCTCAACATGAGGACAGGAGAGCTGTCAATCAATAAATTGGAAAAAAATAACTTGTGTAACTTATTTGAAAAAAGTAACTCAGATATTCTCTTGTAAATGAAAAAGTAATGCGTTACTCTACTAGTTACTTAAAAAAAGTAATCTCGTGTTACTTGTAATGAGTTACCCCCAACACTGCTAATATATAATGGAAAAAGTCTGAAATGCAATAATGAAGAAATATTCAAAAAGAAGCATTTTCACTTGTCCTCTCTCAGATTTTGGACCCCCTTGCAAGTATTTGTTTTTTTTTTTGCATAAAATGCACATTCCCTTCACTAGCAACTCAGCATGTCTTGAGTTTTCTTTAGCCACCTACTTACATGAAGTTCCTCCCTTATTTCCTCAAAGGAATTTGTTATTGGCAGGGAAAATAGAGTTACTGACACAGCTGTTGCTGTCTATAAAGCATGAATCTGAAAGTGGGACAGATGAGAAGTTTCTCTGTTTTCTTGAGAATGAATGAGCTGGCATTGGATGTATCATGCAGCGAAACTAAACATCTGGTTTTGGAAAATGAGCTTGATGTTGGCCGTGAACTGCAGGTCTTCATTTAACTTCCAGGGGTTAAACACAACCAGTGAGGAAATCAAGGTTAAAACTGAGCACAGGATCAGATTAGTATGTCAGGTGATTCATGAACGCGGGCGATGCAGAAAGCTTATTCCACGGTGAACTCTGCGGTGCATCTTCAGGTTTGTGCATGCTTAATGCTTCTGTTGTTTGCATGGACATAATTGCATACATAATGCTCTGGTTTTCTCCAGCTCACGGCTGTGCTTGCATTCGGGACCTGTGGAGGATATACCGGCAGAAATGTGGTTTCTATCTTCTGCGGCGGAAGCAGCAATGATACCCTCAGTGCCATTTTCACCTACCCATTCAGGTTTGGCCCAGTTACACTCTGAAATTGGCAAGTAAAACACTGAATGAAATGTGAAATTGTAGAGTAGAAAGACTGTAGGTAACATACTCCAATAATCTTTTTGTTTACAACTTTTTACAGTGTAATATAAACTCTTTCCAGGGTTATTTTTATTTACTAAAACTATCACATTTTTTGGGGGGATAATTGAAATAAAGCTGAAATAAAATAACAAATATAAGATGAAAAGCTAAAACTAAATGAAAAATTAGATATGAGAAACATAACAATTTCAAAAAATTTAAAACTTAACATATAAAAATAAGACCTAATTCAAAATATTAACGGAGTAGTTCACCCAGGAATTAAAATGTACTCATCCTCAGGCCATCCAAGATGTAGATAAGTTTCTTCATGGAAACAGATTTGTAGAAATGTAGCATTCCATCACTTGCTCACCAATGGATGCTCTGCAGTGAATGGGTGCCGTCAGAATCAGAGTCCAAACAGCTGATAAAAACATCACAATAATTCACAAGTAATCCACACTACTCCAGTCCATCAATTAATGTCTTGTGAAGCCAAAACCTGCATGTTTGGAAGAAACAAATCCATCATTAAGACAATTTAACCAGCTAAAATATGAGTCCTCTATTTCATAATATTGCTTTTTCCAGTGAAAAATCGTTTCATCTGAATCAGGAGAGAAATCTGCACAGATCAAGCACTGTTTACAAGCTAAAAACAGTCCAAAACTGTAGGTGGATTTTGATGTTGGAGGAAAACGGCATCATGATGAATAATGGACTGTTTGGACTGACGGCACCCATTCACTGCAGAGGATCCATTGGTGAGCACTGATGTAATGCTACATTTCTCCAAATCGGTTTGTATTTTTATACCTTCATTTGCAGGTTAAACCAGGAGCTGCTGGTGGAGAGCAACACCACTCTTTGCAATCGCACAGTTCCTGCAACCCATCTTGTAGGAGACTCGTCGTCCTCGGTGGAGTTTTTCGTGGCTGTGGCCATCTTGGCTTTCCTCTATTCAATGGTGGCTCTGCTGGTCTATCTGGGCTACATGCATGTGTACAGAGACTCAGACTTCGGCCCTATGTTTGTGAGTATGCAACTTGCAGATGAGCTTGAAGTTTGCATGCAATATGCATTTGAATATCATGATGCAGATGCTTTTAAGGGAAAATTCTATTTATAATATTTCTGTCTTTATCTGCTAGGATTTTGTGCTGACAGCAGTCTTTGCGTTCCTGTGGCTGGTGTGCTCGTCTGCATGGGCTCGAGGTCTGCAGACGGTGAAGGACGCCACCAGTGCGGCTGGCATTGAATCCACTCTGGCGCTCTGTACGGACAGAAATGTCAGATGTGAAGTCACTGATTACGCCAGCATGCGCTCGCTCAATATATCTGTGGTAAGAAATTACACTAACCAATCATCTGTATTTTTTTCACTGTTTATTATCATGCTGATTATCAATTTTTTAACATTAGGTACATACCCCTAACATAGCGATGCAATCTTAAAGACAGTGTTAAACTGCATTTGCAATGTATTTAACTTCCTTAACGTCTAATTAAAATGAAAAGGAACTTTATTCACTGGCATGTGATGCTTTTTAAGTATGTACACTGGACCAACAGTTTGGAATTTTTAAAAGTTTTTGAAAGAAGTCTCTTCTGCTCAACAAGGCTGCATTTATTTGATCAAAAATACAGTAAAATTATGAAATATTATTACAATTTAAAACTGTTTTCAATTTGAATATATATTGTAAAATGCATTTTCTTCAGAAATCATTCTAATATGCTGATTTGCTGCTCAAAAAACATTATTATCAATGTTGAAAACAGTTGTGCTGCTCCATATTTTTGTGGAAACTGAGATACACCACCATTCAAAAGTTTGGGATAAGTACAATTAAAAAAAGAAATTAACTTATTCTCGAAGGACGCATTCAGTTGTTGAAAAGTGAGAGGAAAGACATTTATAATGTTGCAGAATCTATTCTATTCATCAAAGAACCCTGAAAAAAAAAAAAAATATATATATATATATATATATATATAAAAAAAAAAATATATATATATATATACATCACGGTTTCCACTAAAATAATTATGTTTTCAACATTAATAATAATCATGTTTCTTGAGCAGCAAATCAACATATTAGAATGATTTCTGAAGGATCATGTGACACTGAAGACTGGAGTAATGATGCCGAAAATTCAGCTTTGCATCACAGGAATAAATTACATTTTAAAACCTGCTCTCACTCACATGTTGTACCTGCACTCACTCACATCGTTAACACATCCCTTCACACTGGTGTTTTTCCCTCAACATTTAAACAGGCTCGTATAACCCCACTTCTTAAGAAACCCACTCTTAACCCAACTCTTTTAGAGAACTACAGACCGGTTTCCCTTCTACCTTTCATTGCAAAAACACTTGAACGAGTAGTGTTCAACCAGGTCTCAGCCTTTCTCACACAGAACAACCTCCTGGACAGCAACCAATCTGGCTTCAGAAGTGGACATTCGACCGAGACTGCCTTGCTTTCAGTTGTTGAAGCCCTAAGACTGGCAAGAGTGGCTTCCAAATCTTCTATACTTATTTTGCTGGATCTGTCTGCTGCTTTTGATACGGTGAACCACCAGATTTTCCTGTCAACCCTATTGGAAAATGGCATCTCAGGAACCGCACGCCAGTGGTTTGAGTCTTACCTCTCAGATAGGTCCTTCAAGGTATCTTGGGAATAATGGACTGTTTGGACTGACGGCACCCATTCACTGCAGAGGATCCATTGGTGAGCACTGATGTAATGCTACATTTCTCCAAATCGGTTTGTATTTTTATACCTTCATTTGCAGGTTAAACCAGGAGCTGCTGGTGGAGAGCAACACCACTCTTTGCAATCGCACAGTTCCTGCAACCCATCTTGTAGGAGACTCGTCGTCCTCGGTGGAGTTTTTCGTGGCTGTGGCCATCTTGGCTTTCCTCTATTCAATGGTGGCTCTGCTGGTCTATCTGGGCTACATGCATGTGTACAGAGACTCAGACTTCGGCCCTATGTTTGTGAGTATGCAACTTGCAGATGAGCTTGAAGTTTGCATGCAATATGCATTTGAATATCATGATGCAGATGCTTTTAAGGGAAAATTCTATTTATAATATTTCTGTCTTTATCTGCTAGGATTTTGTGCTGACAGCAGTCTTTGCGTTCCTGTGGCTGGTGTGCTCGTCTGCATGGGCTCGAGGTCTGCAGACGGTGAAGGACGCCACCAGTGCGGCTGGCATTGAATCCACTCTGGCGCTCTGTACGGACAGAAATGTCAGATGTGAAGTCACTGATTACGCCAGCATGCGCTCGCTCAATATATCTGTGGTAAGAAATTACACTAACCAATCATCTGTATTTTTTTCACTGTTTATTATCATGCTGATTATCAATTTTTTAACATTAGGTACATACCCCTAACATAGCGATGCAATCTTAAAGACAGTGTTAAACTGCATTTGCAATGTATTTAACTTCCTTAACGTCTAATTAAAATGAAAAGGAACTTTATTCACTGGCATGTGATGCTTTTTAAGTATGTACACTGGACCAACAGTTTGGAATTTTTAAAAGTTTTTGAAAGAAGTCTCTTCTGCTCAACAAGGCTGCATTTATTTGATCAAAAATACAGTAAAATTATGAAATATTATTACAATTTAAAACTGTTTTCAATTTGAATATATATTGTAAAATGCATTTTCTTCAGAAATCATTCTAATATGCTGATTTGCTGCTCAAAAAACATTATTATCAATGTTGAAAACAGTTGTGCTGCTCCATATTTTTGTGGAAACTGAGATACACCACCATTCAAAAGTTTGGGATAAGTACAATTAAAAAAAGAAATTAACTTATTCTCGAAGGACGCATTCAGTTGTTGAAAAGTGAGAGGAAAGACATTTATAATGTTGCAGAATCTATTCTATTCATCAAAGAACCCTGAAAAAAAAAAAAAATATATATATATATATATATATATATATAAAAAAAAAAATATATATATATATATACATCACGGTTTCCACTAAAATAATTATGTTTTCAACATTAATAATAATCATGTTTCTTGAGCAGCAAATCAACATATTAGAATGATTTCTGAAGGATCATGTGACACTGAAGACTGGAGTAATGATGCCGAAAATTCAGCTTTGCATCACAGGAATAAATTACATTTTAAAACCTGCTCTCACTCACATGTTGTACCTGCACTCACTCACATCGTTAACACATCCCTTCACACTGGTGTTTTTCCCTCAACATTTAAACAGGCTCGTATAACCCCACTTCTTAAGAAACCCACTCTTAACCCAACTCTTTTAGATTTTAATTCTACTTTATCTATATTTATCTTTTTTAATTTTTTTATTCTTGATTTAAAAAAACAACAACAACAAAAAAATAGCTTTCTATGTTTTCTATTCTATCTACTTGTTTTTTCTTTGTTTGTGTGTGTGTGTGTGTGTGTGTATAATATGTGTATATACAGTATATATATATATACACACACCTTGCTACGTGTACTGCGTTAGGCTAACTGAGACTTGTCATTTGCACTTATATATTGTTGCTCTTTTGTTAGTTTTGACTGCTTTTATTGTCCTCATTTGTAAGTCGCTTTGGATAAAAGCGTCTGCTAAATGACTAAATGTAAAATGTATGTAAATGTAAAACATATTCAAATTGAAAACTGGTATTTTTAGATTGTAATATTATTTCACAATTTTACTGTTTTTACTGTATTTTTCATCATATAAATGCAGCCTTGGTGAGCAGAAAGAGATTCTCCAATTATTCCAAACTTTTTCCCCTGAGTGTATATTATAAATAACTGACTCCAGACTTCATTTTCAGATATTTGGTTTCTTGAATCTCATCCTATGGGTTGGGAACGCCTGGTTTGTGTATAAGGAGACGCGCTGGCACTCTCAGAAGGTCAACGCTCAACAAGCGGCAGGACGGGGTCCAAATCCAGCACCCATCTAAACAATTACCCCACAGCATAACAATGCCCACCGTAGCCGTTATGAAAAACACACAGTAATGCCGTGTTCATTTGTGAGATTTCGCTCTTCACCTTTTCTGTTTCTTGTGTACTTGAAGAAAATATCTTTTTTTACCTTGGTTATATTTATATTAGCATGCTTTTTTGATCTTTTAATGGAAATGCAACATGTTTTGAATGTGCTATTACAATATATTTTACTTTTATGATATATATATATTTTTGTCAAATCAAGTATAAAAATCTTGAAAACAATTGTTTTGTCAACCTCTATACGTTTAAGTGTTACACAGCATCATTTCTGTGTATTCTTGCATTTAAAAATAGCAGTTTCTTCTTTCTTACCAAATTCCTTGTTGCGTTTATATTGTTATCTATGCCATTTTTATGCAGTATTAAGCTTCAGTCGCATTTTTAATGGTGCTGGAGTTTTGTTTAGGAAGGTTTTCTCTCTTTTCTTGTTCGTGCTTCTGTTTCTTTAGGGAAGCATTGTTCTCCTGCCACTGAAATGTCATTTTTTGAGGAATAAAACTGACTGTGAAGTGCACTTGGTAGTGGACTTTGTGCTTCTGGGGAGAAAGTGTGATTTCTTACCCAAATAAATCCTGGCTTCCTTCTGGTATAATGGCGCTTTTTGTTTGCCGGCTCATCCTGTGACTTCACTGATCAGCATTTGTCAAAAGAACAACAACAAAAACATTATCTGGAGCGAAAGCCTCAATCTGGTAGTTCACAGTTTTAGACTGAACACCTGGCCTGTTTATTCACATATTCATATCTCAAATTATTTTTTTGTGTCGTGGTTGTGCATTTAGTGCAGGATAGGTGGGTCGAGTTCAGCCTGTAGTGCATTACTTTAAATAATAAAAATAACTAAATAGTGCATTGATATTTAGTAAACAGCTTTTTTTGTCTGAATCTCGTGACTGTCCATCTTTCCGACACTTTAGGAACTCTAAACAAGTAAACAACACAGTGAGTAGTGTGTGTGTAATTATTGTTACTGGTGATGATGAGACGATGACTTTCTCATAAACAGCTGCTTGTGTAACGAAACATGTGAAATTAAATGATTGACATTCGTCACAAATGATTTACCCACAGGATCACAAAAATCTGCGCCTGAATGATAACCAAACTAAAGCCCACACCATGTGAGGATGACAATTAAAACAACATTGATAACTATTTAAAAAGAAAGGCATTTTAGTCTACTATTACTGTCATAATCAACTATAATAACTAGTAGTATTACCTTTTTAGGAATGTGTTAATTATATTTTATGTAAACAACATGTTTAAACACCAATTTAGTAGTTATAGAATCAATAATAATAGTAAAAATTATTTTAAATACATTTTACATTTATATTACATTTATTAGTAATAGTAAGTAAAACCATTATTACTAGTTGTTGAAGATAATAATTAGTATTAGTATTATGATTGTGGTTATTATTATTATTAGTGTTATTATAAGTTGTATTAACTGTTGATTATAAAATTAATAACATTTTATTGCTTTCATAATATATAACAAATATTAAATAATATATTAATTAACCACCTTAACCATCTTCAAGAAACCACTAAAAACACATCTGTTCCACCTTTATTTGACCCTCTAACTCTAACACTTTCTATTCTATTTTAATTCTACTTTATCTATATTTATCTTTTTTAATTTTTTTATTCTTGATTTAAAAAAACAACAACAACAAAAAAATAGCTTTCTATGTTTTCTATTCTATCTATTTGTTTTTCTTTGTTTGTGTGTGTGTGTGTGTATAATATTATTACTAACAAATTTATATAACAAATATTAAATAATATATTAATTAAATGAATAAAAATAAAAGGTACTCTTACTATGTAAATAATAATAATTATTATCATCATCATTGTTATTAATTGTTGCTATTAATAACATTTCGAATTATTTTTCATTATTCATTTGATGAATGTATTAATATTTATTTATAATCAACAATTATTACAACTATCAATAATAATGATGATGATTATTATTATTTACACTGATATTCCTTTTATTTTTATTTATTTAATTAAAATATTCCTTTAATATTTATCACATATTTTGTAAACATTACAATGTAATTCATTTTATACTTAACAGTTTATACAGGTATTACAAATAACACCAATATTAATAACAATAATTATCTTCAACATCTTATAATAATAGTAATAAGTAGTAATACTGCTAATAATATGATTACATTATTTTATTAATTATTGCTAGTAATTACATTCATATTAATTGTGCTATTATTAATGCATATGTAATTAAAATGTAGAAATGAAAGTAAACTATCACTACTACTACTACTAAAATGGCGTAAGGGCGATTAGAATATAAGAATAATTGTGTAATATAAGAATGCACGATGTTTCCGTCTCTGAAGCCGAGCGCAGCCGAGCGCAGCCGAACGCAGCCGAACGCTGGCCGAACTGTGGCGAAGGTGGCGTCATATGTTTCTCTCGCTCGCTCGCTCGCTCGTCTCGCAGTCTGTGAAGGAAGAAGGAAGAGCAATGGCGACGCTGTACCGCCGCGCTCTCACACTGCACACAGGAGCCACAACACGCACTGTAAGTCACATTAGCGCCCTCAGACACCCGCTCGACTGCAGTACGACCCTCGATAATGTCAGGGTTTATAACTGGAGCTCGCGCGTGCATCTGCGCTGCTGCATAAACAACGCGCGTGCGTTCCTCTCGTCAGCTGTCACGATTGATTGACAGGTGTCGCGCTCCTCTGTACTTTACGCGTCAATGTTAGCGGCTCAGGAGACGGAGTGTGTATAAGTTTAGACACTGTGTGTTTGTGTGCGTATTTGCATGTGTGTGTGTTGCTTTGCTGGATCAAGACAGCCATCTAGCTACCAGTTTCTGTAACTGTGCATGCTCGTTAACTGGTTGGTTACAGTGTCAGTCTAATGCATGCGGCGATATTGAATCTTTTCAGATCTTTACTCTGATACTGCTGGGGAGAAGCTCTTGAAGGCTTCAGAGGTGATCAAACTCAGTGAAGCAGGTGAGTGTGTGTGTGTGTCATGATGGTGGGCGTTTCTTCTCGTGTCATCATGTTGTTATTGCTGTCAGCTCATGTAGGCTTAGGGTAATACTGTACTTTCACAGCATGCATTAGCACTGTTTGCTCCTTCAATAGTCTTCCATTGTTGTCACCATACCAGAATTTCATTAGTTCATACAACACGCTAATAAAAAAATCGTATTATTTCATGCTACCAGTGAAACTTACATTTTTTTGTGCCTGCTTGAACAATTACAGCAATAAAAAGAGCATTTTAATGTTTTATATTTATCCGGTTTATTTGAATAAATAATGTTAATATGTTATTGTAATTATATTAAAATAAACATCTAAATTATATTTGACATTTTATTTTAATTACTGATAATATGTCTTTATTGTATTTTATTGAAATAAATAATATGAATATTTTATATTATTGTAACTATACTATATTAAAATAAATAAACAATTTAAATGGTTTTAATATTGCATGCTTTTATTTTATTTTAATTAATATATTTTTTATTTTATTGCAATACACATTTTAATTGTATTTTTTATATTTTATAGTTTTATCTTAATAAATAATATTTTTATTGTGATTGTATTCAAATTAATATCTTAATATTTTCGATTATCACATTGTATTTGTTATTTACATGTAAAAGAACCAGTACTTCCGTACCATGTTGTGCTAAAATAAAAAGTAATAATAATAACAACAACAAATATTTTTATTGTAGTACCAACTTGGTTTAAAAATACTAGTTCTTTTGCATTTAAAATAATAATTTAAAATATATGATCTTTTATATGTGCTGAGTAAAAATCATTAACAAACATTGCATTATAGAAGCTATATTAGCTGAACAGATCTACGTTCGGATAGTTAGGAAGGGATCTGTTTCACATACTAATTCAAACAAAACAAAAAACAGTCAGTGGTATTTCGCACTTACTTCACGGTATTCATAACAATATAGTTGTATTACATTCTGAACATAACCATAACATTTAAGTGTCTGACACACACACACACACACACACACAAGCAGCTGGTGTTAATGCAGTTCAGCTCAGTTTTTCTCATTGTTAACATCAGCACTAGCTCTCAGTGTGAGCGTGTGTGTTCTCAGTGTGTACTAGCGGAAGTGCGCAGTGATTCTGCATGGATGGTGAAAGAAAGCTCAGCGGATCTGACGAGCTCCTCTGAACGCTTGCGTCACAGTTCTCCACTGATCAGCAGCTTTAGCCATGAGTGACTAAATATTTCACTAAACGTGAAGTAGAATGGGTCACTAGTCCGTCCTGCTTTAAAACACGAGCTGAGGGACATAAAACTGTGGTTTCAAATTAAAAGTCTTAATCAAATCTCAAAATGTCACTTTTGGTGGGTTATACATGCCATCAAGTCAGCCCTCACTGGCAGCCTTGGTTAATAATTTAGTGGGTCAGATGTGGAAAAAACTTAGAATAATTTTCATGTTGCTTACGGCCGTAAAATGATTATTATATACATTTAATGGAATAGTTCACCCAAAAATGGAGATTTGCTGACAATTTACTCACTGTCAGGCCATCCAAGATGTAGATGAGTATGTTTATTGGAACAGATTTGTAGAAATGTAGCATTACATCACTTGCTCACCAATGGATGCTCTGTAGTGAATGGGTGCCGTCAGAACGAGAGCTGATAAAAACATCACAATAATCCACACCACTCCAGTCCAGCAATTAATGTCTTGTGAAATGAAAAGCTGCATGTTTGTAAGAGACAAATCCATCATTTAGGCATTTTTAACTTCAAACCGTTGCTTCCGGCTAAAATACGATTCCTCTATCCATAATATTGCTTTCTTCAGTGAAAAAGTCATCTGGTCTGAATCAGTAGAGATCTGCACAGATCAAGCACCGTTTACAAGTGAAAACAGTCCTAAACAGCTCTAAACAAATCTGTGGGTGGGTTGTGATGTGAGAGAACACTTTTTCACTGCAGGAAGTGTTATTATTGGATTATAGACTTCTATTTTGTCAAGAAGTGACCATTTTAAGTTAAAACGCTTTAATGTTGGATGT